AAAATATATCCTCCACAAGCACCAGAAGAGGAAAGGAGACCTGCTGTGAGTGAATCAGTTTTGTAAAGAGGCTTATAATTCCACTTACTGAACTAACTTACTAACTAAACACTTGCTAAAAATGTCATTATACTTTGATGCCCTTGGAAGGGTTTTGGGTGCATATAAGAATTTTAGAATATTCATAAGGAGTTTTAAATGTTAAACTTTTTAATCATCCAGCTATTTTGACATGCTCATGATATTATTAGGCATAGCAGATGCAAGAACACTGCTTTCTTTCCAGAATGACCTGAATAAATTAACTATGTAAATGTTTTATAAATGTGCAGTGTCTTATATATTTGGGAACACCAATGAAATTTATTCAAACTTAAAAGAACTTCCAACAATTTTAATTATTATAAATTTTTCATTAATAATTACTATTTTTTCTTCTGAAGAGTAAGGATTTGACCGGTATAATTTCTGGCTGAAGCAAGAATATTGTCAAGAACAAAATTAGTGTTATATTGTTGGTTACTGTTAAACATTACTGCCTTCAACACTGTGATTGCTTTTGTTTGCATTTTCCTTTTAGTTTGTGTGCCACATGAAAACCAACATTAAATATAGTCCTTGGAAGATGTGGTACATAGCAAGCATGGTAAGAGGTATGACAGTTGACGAAGCAGTCAAGCAGCTTAGTTTTGTCGTGAAAAAAGGTGCTGTAGCTGTCAAGGAAACAATACTGGAAGCCCAAAAAATGGCTGTGGAAGAGCATAACGTCGAATTTAAAAGCAATTTATGGGTTGGTAAGTATCAATCAAGATGATTTATCCCAAATATTGGGAAGTCTTATGCTCATTTGTACAAGCAAATATAACTGTGTTTAATTTATAATCTATTAAAAAGCTTCTATGTCACCAAGATGTATAAATGTGAAATGGAAATAGTATTGTAAAAAACTTCAAAATTATGTTTATGTTGATTTACCTGAAGCTGTCCTTGTGAATGATTGACAGTGAGGTCTAATAGATGAATGAACCAATCATCTATCATCACATGCGATGTCTGTTCAAGAGATTAAGCTTCCACCATCATATTTGTTTCATCTCAAAGATAACCCCAATATTGAATCCTGAGAACAAACAACAAAGAAAACTTTATTTTCTCTACCATTTGCTCTGTTGCTGTATGTTTTAGGAAATATTTAGTTGGCTCAGTTTGTCAGACTATAAGTTCATGTTGAAAGCAATGCCTGTAAACTTTAATTTCCAATGTGAAATAGAATCTTAGTTTAATTTTAAGAATATTTAACTTTGTATTTTAAGACTTGAATTTGTATGAATTATTGCTATTTTGTTCTCTTTGATCCGACAAATAGCTGAATCGTTTGTTGGCAAAGGCATGGTCATCAAAGGGATGCGAAGACATGCCCGTCTTCGAATAGGGAAGGTAGAATATATCCATTGCCATTACTTTGTTCGCCTGGAGGAAGGAACACCTCCAAAGCACTATTATCCCTTCAAGCGGAAACTTACGGGGCCAGAACTGCTGGAAAACTGGCTGCAACAGATGAGGAAACGGAAGATACCAAACTCACTTTAATAAAATTTTACTGTCTGTTGCAACATTTTTTGTCAAACTAAAATGTGACTGTAATCTGTTAGTGTAAGAACAGCGGCCTGTTACGGACCTAATTAATAATCATTTATAATAAAAACTTGAAAAGAGGCTTTTGCATATTTTCTTCATTTTTTAGAGGCTGTTTAGTCTCGCCCTGAGAACAAATTATTCTTACGTAGCACAAAAGACAATGTCCCTCTGCCCACAGTGGCTTTTCACCATCACAGTAAAAATCGTTGATAGGATTGGCATATTTTATGGTGAGCATTGCTTTCGCTCTGCAGCAAACTACAGTTCACATCAAAGTTCTCTTTCGAGCAAGGCTTGATGGACGTGTGATGAAAGTCCAAGACGGAGAAGAATTTAACAAGTAAAAGTCTTATACAGAATAATTTCTCAAGCTGCCTTCCAAGAAATCTCTCCTCCATCCACAAAGGAATTCAAAACAAGTGGAAGTTATCTGAACTTCTTCTTATATGGCTCTGCGGTCCGTATTCAGTCCGTGGCCTCCTCAATTCAGTCCTCTGTTAGGTCCGTCTGTCCGAGGCTTTGATCGAGGTCTCGAAACATCATCCTCTTTACGGTTCAAGGTCGTTAGCCTTGCGACCAACCCCCAACCTGGAGGACCAGGGTACCTCTCTCCCTCGACCAATCTGGCGAGGGAGCCCCTACCAGTAGCGCTTGGGGTCACTCCCCACCACCACCACCACAAGGTGCAGGTACCATTAAGTGGGGAGTTATCCGAACAGCATTACATAATACTTGTAAATTTGTTTACAATGCTACTGACATAATGCGAAAATTACAATATATTTTTGTGTTAACACTGAGAGCCATACTGTGTATATTTTTAACTGATAATGTAAACTTTACTACATCGCAATCTTCCCTCATAACATGTTTCTTCCAGTATTGACCATCACCAGAGGCTATGAGATTTCAGATCCTTGCGCCAGTGAGTATGGCGACGGCTATCTCCTGGTTTGTCTACCAGACTACACAGTCTGGTAGAAGTTTACTGGCATTTCACCCTGATGACGGAGGCAGCAGGTACCTCGTATGATTCTCAGAATAAACTGTGATTCTTTCCTTAAACAGCGTTAACCAGCTGACCTTTGCGATGAAGATGCCAGGACTGAATATTATTTAGATGAACCTCGGATTCATGTCCTATACCCTCCAGCCTGCCCTGATTCAGAATTCTACGTAACAAATCCTTGTGGGAGAGCGGATAACTCGGTCATTATAACTGAATTACAAACTGGATAGGGGCATGGTAATTTCTTTTCGCCCCTGTGCCAAAACCAGCTCTACGCCCCTCCAGCCTCGTAAACAGCGGGTGCCGAGGTGAAGAATGCTTGGGGCTCTATCTCCACTAGCCTCTACACTTTTTAAGTATGACGATTAGCAATTGAAGTGTTCTTCATTCAAAGCACAGACCACATTAGGCAGGTAGGATTTTTATATCCTCTGATCTGTAGAGACCTTTCGGTTGCTAGGAGAGCGATTACTATGAACGACTGCAATGTCATATTAATAAGCCAAAGGGCCTTGGTACATAGCATGCCGATCTCATTTCCCAAGGTTGCAGGTCAGAATCATGCCAGACTTTGCAATTGCAATTCCCCCCTTCCCCTCCATTTTCATTATCAAAACATTCCACAGTATTTGCCTGTCTGTTAAGTGATTCTCGGATTATTTAATGTCATAGTATTGACTCCTGAGATTGTGAATATGCTGGAAAGAACTTCGCATCTGTCTGAAACACTGCCTAGTATTTTCATATGCCAAACCCAAAATGACTTCCTATCTTGCTTTTTTGTAGACAATTGTAACCATAGAATAATTTTCTAATTCCTTTAAATTTATGGACGATGTTTTTTTTTATTTTCTCGTGTCCTTTCCTTGAGTTACTGGCTGTTATACTAACCAACGAACGAGGCAAACTAGCTCAGTGTTACTTTCTTTTCTCACATTTCGTAACATGATGATTTTACCGTGAGGAGTTGTTAGCCCCCGATCCAACCTCCGTTTGAGGACCACCCTCTGTCGGCAGTCCGCGTGGCATATTGATCAGATTTCCTACTTCATATTAGCTTTTTGTCCGACGCCCCAAGATTTATTTTATCCTTCGGGACTAAGTTTCCAATCAATCATTCATTCCAAAATTTTCTAGCCGTTTTTTTCGTAATATTACATATTTTATTTCTATTTTTCCTTTAACTTTTAAAACCCCAGTGAGAACTATATATACCACTTGTTCTAACAGTTAGTAACTGTGCATTTTGTATTTAGCATTGACAGATTGACGTCTGTAATGGTGAAGTGCAGTGTTTTCTTTGAGGTACGGACTGAATTCTTATATATTATTCAGACGAATTTCGGCTTAAAAGGGTTAATATATTTACGTTCACGATGTAATTTCTGAGCACGTGATCTCATATGTCTCTCGCATCTTCTGTCCCATCTGATCTTTCTGCTCGATTGTCCAGATACCGATTTTGGAAGATTAGATCGATACTTAACCAATATTTTGTGGTATTTATTCCTCGTTTCTGATGTTGCCAAAACAGGATAATTTCAATAAAATCTCATTAGCCAGTCTAACGATGGAAAATACTTTCAAACCGAATACTCGCGCACTCTCAACGTAGCAGAGTGTACTTGAAGAATCACTGATAAGCAAGGACAAGCAACGTCTGAAAATAGACCTGTAATAATAATAGTTTATTCTCGAAGATTGACATAAAAACAAGCAACATCGTGGGAGTGTTAAATTCTAGTTCACACAAACTTATTTATAGAGTGAGCCACAGTGCCTGGTTAAGGAGGCGACAGATTCTGCCATTTATTCTAAAATAAAGTACAGAAAATTACTGAGTTCACATGTCAAATTCTAGGAAACAGCCCACGCTGTGCATACATTTCCTAATTTGTTTCGACACTGTAAGACGCGGTGTCATTTACAAGACGAGTTTTATCTCGTAACTCTCAAGCTGACGGCACGAAGTCTACGAGTGGGAGGCAACGAAGTTTACCTTTATATGGGCACATCCCAACTTCAAGCGAACGGTCGCAGCGGGGCAGAGCTGCAACCCGCATTGTCGTCGTCATGACGAATGTCAGCATCGTAAGAAAATCAAAGATGATTTCATCAGTTGTCATCAAAATCTAAGGAGTCCAGTAATGCTCGTGCATGAACAACTGGTATTTTCTATCGAAAACAGTATTATTATTTAGTGTTCTGTCTGACGACAGGTCCATATGAACAGGATCCTTCCATCCTTTTCTCGGACTGGGACCTGTTCATATACGTTCTTGGCAGATGATTCAGAAGTGGTTTGCCATTGCCTTCTTCTGTGTGTGAATGGAGTAATTGTTGGGATGCCACGGAGGAAAACTCCGTGTTGCCTAGACCACGGCCTTGCCCAACACAAGTTATAAATTCGGGCACCGCCGGGAATCGAACCCGAGACCCCAGGATTACAAGGCCAGCGTTCTAACCGCTAGACCGCAGGGAAATTCCATGGGGCAGAGCCCTTATTGAGAAGCAGGAAAATTAGCTGTATTTTACTATACCCAAAAAGTTCATCACCGTGTTCACAAGAACCCTCATATCATATCTCTTCGAGATCCTCCGATTCTTACTGCCTCCATCATCAGGGCGATCATCATAGAATCCCTGATGATGGAGGCGGCATTCACTCCCGAAACGTCAGTAAACTTGTATCAGACTGCAGAGAGCAACAATCCCGAAGACGTGATACCTTTTCGTGAACCTGATCGGGCTCGTCTGTCTATGAGCATGTTATCTGTTTTTAATGGCGTCGCGCAACCGGTCGAGGTCACCAGGTCACAGCCAGGGCATCACCAGAGCACGCGGTGCTTGTCACAAACATGCACTGGGTCTGTAAAGCTTTTGTAACCTCCTCCCTGTAGTACCTTCTTCCGTTCCCCTATTCAGCGGATGTGAAAGTTACGTGAGTGTGTGTGAAATGTCTGCAGCCAGAACCAAGATGGTGCAAGTTTTCTGAGAGCCCTGTCCTTACTTCAATATTCCTTTCCCTGGTGATGTCCCTTATTTTGCAAATTCTCCGAATCACATAAACACTTTGCTTAGTTCATTTCCAGATTTGACCTTACCTGGCCTCTGTCCACATGATATGCGTTCAGACGTCGTTCATCATTCTACACGCTAGCAGTTTCGGTGTGATCGCCATGTTATCTACTATGATGACAACGAACATGGATTGTAGAAAAAAAAAATACAGCAGACTTGTCTCATTCGAGGGTTTCCGCATCGCGGAAAAAAAAATTTTGTGGTAATATTTGTGCACCGCGGCGTTATAATCTCGACTGGACCACGACTGTTAGATTCTCAAGGACTGCTCCATGGAGCTGACAGATTCTGTGACTGAAAATGACAGTGTTTTTGACC